TTTCTTTTTCTTTTTAAGAGCAGTCTATCTACTAATACTGATAATACTGAATGTCGGTAGAATCACAACTTACTCTGAAATAAGAGCTTCTTGTCAATTTCCAGTCCCCGAATTTACTAACAAGGAGGATGAAACAAAATGGAAATCAAAGAACTGCGGTTTCCTACATAATTTCAAGTTTCGGCGCATCTATCTGGACGGTAGGTAAACGTCCTTACAACACCCAGCAAGGAGTCAGACTAACAGTCAATAGAGGCACACGAGATTAAAAACTATAATTCCAAAGCTAGCCAGGCAGTCAGACTTCTGACTGCGAAATTCCGTTGGGTGATAACTGGCACTCCTATTCACAAGTAAAGGCACTGTTTCGATTGAAATATTTTCCATCAGCTAACACGAGATATTTCTCTATCTTTGTGCCAGTGATGTCACGGAATTTTACTCCTATTTCCAATTCTTGAAGGTCCCAGCACTAGAAAATTATTACATGTTCCTTGACAAAATTGTGAATGTATGAGCCTCATCATATTTTATGTCATACTCTTATGGCTAATCGATTTTGCTATAGAATGATCCTGATCACCATAGGCTTACCAATTGTCTTCGTGCATATATGTTGCGCCGAACTCACGCAGAAACTCTATTTGGGCGTCCTATCCTCAAGCTTCCCGACATTGATGAAAACACAATAGTTGTTAAATTTTCCATTGTGGAGAGAGCCTTATACCAAAAAATGATTGGGAGCTTCTTAGATGAACATCTTAGTTAGCCATGACCCATTTCTACTTTTCATATGGTCAGTAGGAAATCTAACTCTGTATAGACACCATGCGCACCATTGACGGACTTGACAACTATCTCGCCCTTCTGCTTTACCTGCGAATGTTTACATCCCATCTGCTATTACCACAAGATGTAATAAAGCAGATATTGACTCCTCAATTTATGCAAGAAATTGAGCCTGAAATAAAACAGAGCTCTGATATTGAGGAAAGTGAGGTGTTCAATTCACTTCAGGCGTCGTGGTTCGCGAACCCACCGAAGCCTCTAGATCGCTCGGGAAAAGAAGGATCGGATGCCGGAATCTCAACATTGTTTGAATCCGTGATGGGCAGCTCAAAAGAGGCCGCAAACATCATGGGTTGCATTGAATGCAACCAGAGACAAGAATCAGTTTTCATATTATCATGTATGCACCTTTGTTGTTTCGGTTGCATGCCAAAGTTACCACGAGTTGGAGACGAACAAATTACATGCCGTTGTGGTTTGACTGTATCCTATAAACCATGCCTTGATCTCCAGAAATTCTGCCGTAGCAAGGCAATACGGAGGGAGAGAGGTTCGAAGTCTAGATGCATCGACGAATTTGAACAGGATATGGGAACTCGAACTATTGGCGAGACGGTACTTAGCGCGAAGCTAAGGGCTGTGAAAATGTTCATTTCTAACTGGCTCAAGGAATCACCAGATATTAAAATCACAATATTCACACAGTTTCTGGGAATGATTAGTGCCATAGCCTCGGTGTGCGAGGCTGAAGGTTGGAGATACACCACGGTATGGATGTTCTAACTGGCTTTTTACGTCTTGTATCGGCGTGCTAACTGTTACCTCGACAGCTTTGTGGGAAACTGCACCATAGAACTAGACATGCAAACATCAAAAGGTTCCGCGAGGAGAACGTTAGCATCTTGATCTCCTCGCTGAAAGCAGGGGGTGTGGGCCTCGACCTGACTATGGCTAGCAAATGTATCCTGGTTGATTTATGGTGGAACGAGGCAATTGAGCAACAGGTAAGCAGCACCCATCTTGCGCTAATTGATTCGAAATCTCCTGAACATGTTAGGCATTTTGCCGCCTATTTCGCATAGGCCAAAAGAATGACGTAGAGATCATTCGTATATGTGTCGAGAACACGGTCGATGACCGCCTCCAACTTATTCAGAGTCGGAAATCTGAACATATAAGAAAGGCTATGGGGTCAACCGTCCTCGCGCAAAGGCTAGTCCTTGGTGCTTTTCTATATCTTCGAAATGGAAATCCTAACACAGCTATAGGGATACCCTTGCCGATATTTTGACACTCTTTGGGGTGGAAGAAGATGAGAATGCAGACGGGGGATACAGGTTCTTGACCGAAGAAGAGGCGGCTGCACAGTTGAAGGAGAAGGACAAGACCCCTGATAATAACGCTGACGCTGACGCCGAAGCCGAAGCCGACGCCGAAGTTCTACCTGGACCTGAGCCTAAGCCTGAGCCTGAGCCTGAGCTTGAGCCTGAGCCTGAACCTGAGCCTGAACCTGAGCCTGAACCTGAAGGCGAACCTGAACTTGAGGCAGAAATTGAACCTGAACCCGAAGCCAAAGTCGAAGTGGAAGCTGGCGCTACCTAACTAGCTAACTAGTCAAGGAGCACTGCATTCCTCATCTATTCCCCCCCCGTCGCACCGTTTCACTGCTTCCTTTGGAAAACCATAAACAGGGGCTGCTGATAAAGAAGCTTCTAGTTAACCGTGGATAGAAAAATACAGCTGGTTGTTCCTTTCGTTCAATTGCTTTTAACTAATGAAGTTAACTACCCCAGCTTTTCTCCTTCCACGTGACTGTAACTAGTTAGTTAGTAGAAGGTTCCCCGGGGCCAAGGTTAGTTATGGGAAAGAGACCCATGTCCGAGGGCAACAGGGCGTTTTCTCACGACGAACGAGATGGCTTCTCAGCGGGGAAGACATATAGCCATATTACTGTCGAGTACATACCGTCTGAGAGACCTCAATACGTTTAGATGCTGAAGGCCTACTCTTTAGCACAGCCCTACCACCGCACGATTAACACGGTTAGCAGACCCGTTGGAGCATGGCAGACGAAAAGAAGCAGCTGGGCGCTGCTGCCGGCCTGCAAGACGGATACTATAATCTCGGGGCATATCACCGTCCCATTAGCACGAGAAGCCAGGGTGCTCAGACGTGGTTTGACCGTGGGCTGATATGGAGCTTTGCTTTTAACCATGACGAAGCAGCAGCGTGCTTCCAACGAGCCATCGACGAAGACCCCGACTGTGCCATGGCGCACTGGGGACTTGCGTACGCTTCTGGGCCCAACTATAACATGCCGTGGGCATTTTTCAATGCTGAACAGCTGGGATATGTGGTGACCAAAACCCACGATGCTGCTAGAAAGGCAGAAGAGAAGGCACAGGCGCCAAGTGTATCCGCAGTTGAGAAGGCCTTAACCAAGGCTTTGATACATCGATATCCCCAAGACCATCCCGTGGAAGACTGTGCAATATGGAACAAAGGATATGCTGATGCGATGAAGTTGGTATATCAAGCATTTCCCGACGACCTGGACGTTGCGATGCTCTACGTGGATGCATTGATGAATCTGACTCCATGGAAACTGTGGGACTTGGTGACTGGAAATCCAGCAAAGGGAGCGCACACACTAGAAGCCAAAGATATCCTCGATCGTGCCTTGGCCCAAGAAGGCGGGCTTTCTCACCCTGGGCTTCTTCACCTTTACATCCATCTCCTAGAGATGTCTACTTCACCAGAATCGGCATTACCGGCAGCTAACCAGTTAAGAGGGCTTGTTCCTGACTCTGGACACTTGAACCATATGCCATCCCATATTGATATCCTGTGCGGTGATTACCAAGGTGCAGTCATATCAAACTCAGATGCGGTTATTGCCGATGAGAAGTACGTTGCTCAACATGGAAAGATGAATTTCTACACCCTCTACAGGTGCCACAACTACCACTTTAAGGTGTATGCAGCCATGTTTTCAGGGCAGTCAAAAATTGCGGTTGATACTGTTAAGCAGATGGAGGCAACTATACCTGACCAGCTAATACGGGAATCTACCGAGATGGCAAATCTTCTGGAGTCCTTCGTTGCTATGCGGGTACACGTCTTGATCCGATTTGGAATGTGGGATGAGGTCCTCGCTCTTGAGCTACCAGAAGACCAGTACTTATACTGCGTGACTACTGCAATGAGACTGTATGGAAAGGGAGTGGCATATGCCGCGACTGGAAGAATTGAACAGGCACGAGAGGCTCGTGAAGCTTTCCGAAGCGCAGTAAAACGAGTGCTGCCCACTCGCACGGTATTCAATAATAGCTGCGCTGACATCCTGGCCATTGCCTCTGCAATGCTAGACGGTGAGCTAGAATACCGCCTCGGACACTACGATACTGCATTTGAACACCTACGCCATTCCGTCAAGCTCTATGATTCTCTGCACTATGATGAGCCATGGGGTTGGATGCAACCAGTTCGACATGCATACGGTGCTCTTTTGCTTGAACGGGGCTATGTTCAGGAGGCGGCCGCAGCGTATCGTGCAGATCTGGGACTAGATAACACCGTGCCTCGAGCACTGCAACATCCGAATAATGTCTGGGCATTACATGGGTATCATGAATGCCTGGAAGCTCTAGGAAAGACAGATGAAGCGGCAAAGGTTGCGCAACAGCTTGCTACCGCGGTTGCCTTGGCAGATGTGCCGATCCGGTCATCTTGCTTCTGTCGATTGCGGACTGTTGCCAGAATGTAAACATTGTTGTTTCAATCCTGCATGTATTGTTTCAGGACAGCATAAAATGAATAACAGCCAGATGAAGGTTGGATGAAGGTTCTCGACTCTGCTAGTAGTACTGCCACTACTACTATGTATTTCCATATACTTTGAGCAAGTAGTAAGTATCATGAAAAGCTAAAAGAGTTTCATATTATAAAAGCTGTCCTCGTTGCTCTATCAAGGAGTTTTAAGGCAAGCAAAAAGGACACCAAAACAAAATAAGTGTAAACCCTAAGATTCACCAACAGCATAACACGAACACCTTCCCGTGTCAACCATGGCTTGGATCAGCCTTAGCATCTGGCAATGAGAGTGCAGGTCGTGTAGGTATCGAAATCCTGAAACTGCACACCAAACACGTGGGGGGAAAGGGGGGGAGGGGGAGCGAGCGAGAACAAAATCGAGATTAGAAAGTACAGGCTACCTATTCCTCTGGGGGATTACGAGTAGCATTTGAAGTGGTATCATCATTATGGATATTGAAATGTCGTTAAAAGTCGGTTGGTGGGTTAGGTCGATTTAAGATTGGATTTTGTTGTCTCCCTTAACAGCCTCAGCGTAGGTTGGTGGAGCTCTGTGCTCACCCTCAGGCCTACTGCTGCTTCCCTGATCTGGCGCGCCACCGGTCTGATGTGGTTTCTGAGGAACTGGGGGTGGAGGAGCAGGCCTTGACTCAGGGTTTACGTTGGTGCCATACGAGCGCTGCTGCTGCTGCTGCTGCTGTTGCTGGTGGTACTGGTTAGGGTGAGCCTGCTCATGGGCGATGTAATAGTATGTGACTCGGCCCGCCTCAGCGTCTCCACGCTGTCCATGTCCGACGATGGGTCTGTATCCATCTGGGTACTCGTCGTCTGCCTCTGGGTACTTGAGAATGATGTACCATGCATGAAGCAGACCTGGGACGTACCCCAGGCAGCAAAGGGCGATGTTGATAAGAGAATCAGCAGAGCAGACGCCGACCTTGATCCAGACTACAGGTTTAACAAGCCGAAACCGTTAGTATCATGCCATATAGTTACCGCTTGAGAGGAGCGCGGGAGCGAACGGGTTAGCGTACCTGCGATGGGCGGGAAGAGGACGGCCAGAATGGCCAGGAAGGCGTCTGGCGAGCACATGGTGGAAAATGAAACAGAGTCGATCTGGTGTCGCAGCCGTTCTTCCTTTTCTTCTGCTGCTGCTCCGTGGTCCTTTTTGTAACAGATCAAGCTGAAGTGGCTGCCTGGCGATGTTGCTTCTTCCCTTTCCTTGCGCCTCGCTCAGTGACGTCTCTGCTTAGTCAGCGTATATCACGTGGAAGTCACTCTCCAGTAGCGTGTACTCTAATAATATCAAGGCTTTGCCTCGCTCTGTCAAAGTGTCAAAACCAGCTCTGGCCGCCGCCCATCCTTTCCGCTTCTCCAAAATCTTCGCTTGGCGGCCGCCAGCGTCTGTCTATCCATCCCCGTATCGCTGCCATCTGTCGCCCATCATGCAGCATCTATGTGCATCTCCCCCCAGTGCTCCTCCGTACGGTCTTACTGCTCCCCCTATAGCTGACAGCTGACATCGATATCTGTATTACATAATGGTATTTTTTGTGTATCAAAGCCCTGCAGAGACTTTCAGGGGCGTGACGGGATGTCCCGAGAGGGCGTAAAGCGGGCACAAATACCGATTTCCCATTGGCTGCGGCCACATAACCAGCCAATCACAGCTCACCGTGCTAAAGTAACTTACGCCATACACCTCGGATACCACTGCGCTTTACCGCTTTGGGCCCCGTCGCCCGAAGCGTCGACCCTTCTCGTCCTCCTCCTCTTTTCTTCAACTTCAACTCCAGCTGCAACATCGCATCCACGGTCAATCGTTCGGTTCTTCGTCTCTCGTTACGCCCTGTTCGCCGGCAGACTTGCCTGTCCACTCGTTCGTTTTCTGTCGAAGGGCTTGTCGCGAAAGGGTCCCTTTTTTTCACCACCTGGAACGTCGAATTACTAAGAGAAACACTCCAACAACACACCACGTCAACCAGCAACACGTCGGTCTTGTTCTGTCATTCATTAAGCTCCAGGGCACATACTTGCCCCCAAGAAAAGCTCTTCCTGAACTCAAAGGAACTTACGCATTCCGTCTTCATGTCGATGATATCTGCCGCTACCCCATCCTTGGTTGTCTTCTTGCTGTGACTGTGACTTTGGCCCCAGGAAAAACCTCTTCAGTCAGCAGCTCACAGAAGGACCCGCACCAAAACAGATAAGACACTTTCGGCATGTCGACGGACTGTATCTCGCTCAGGGGATCGAAGCAATGCCCCGCCTTCAGTTCTGCTTCTATCTCTGTCAATGACCGCTTGGTCGGTCAATAGTACGTGTTCCTCGGTTACTCTATTATTACTCTGCTTGAAAAGAATCAGGGATTGACAAATCTATTTTGATGGATAGCCCTTTTCTACGATATGTCTCCAACCTCAACGATTTCGATGAGAAACTCGGCTCTTACGTTCGCAATGAATATGTCAAAATGAAGTATGTCCTCCATCATTTTTTTTTTTGTTTTGTTTTGTTGATTTTCTTTAAATCTTCGTGCCTCTTAATACATATCCAAGTGACTGATCATATTTCGCCTTGACAGGTACCAGGACATACTCGGATGCGAAGGTTTGAACCTTAAGAACACATCTTCTCTCTATGCTCAATATACGACCAGCGTAATATGTAATGGAATAATACAAAATTCAAAAGAGCCGTGTCGTCTGTCTGAACGAAGCGCCAGACCACTTTGTGCGGAGAGCTGTGTAAGTTGTTCTCCTTTCCTCAATCTGACAGTAAAAATTGCTAATTCATGTCACTATCAGGCAATGTTTGCAACCAGTGAAGAAATAATTACAGTCAACCAGGATCTATGTCGGTCCCCTAAACGCAATCACATGGACGAAATAAGGGCAGACTTCACGGTTTGCGCCATTCCAGCTAATTCGCTATCCGGACAGTGCATTCCTGGCACCGATAACGAGCCAAACGAATGCGGGTTTGGAGAAAATCTGCTTGGCCTGTGCGGTTTCTGCTCGCAGACTTCAATCAATGGCACTGATACGTGCTGCTACGCTGCCAATGCGGAGCAGCGTTGCAAGAACATCAAACTTCCAGAAATCTCATCACTGCCACCTCTATTTCCACATCCAACTTCGACACCCTCTCCCACGCACACTGACAAACCAGGTGGCGGAGGTCTAACTGGTGGACAGATTGCCGGAATTGCCGTTGGAACAGTATTGGGATGTGCATTTTTAATCGGTCTGGCGGTTCTATTCCTCCTTTGGAGAAGACGGAAACGGAATGAATCTGCTGAAAGCATTTTCAACCAACCTACGCCTCCCCGGACCATGGCAACAGCTCCATCATATCCCGCTGGCGGCAGCTCAACTAACAAGCAGCAGAAAGGATATGAACCCATTCCCGGAGGCCGTGTTGCGCGAATGTCAGCACTTCAAGGTGGTAGTAACCCACCATCACGTCACGCATACCACGATTCGGATTCCGATGTATTTGGAGACAGCCCTTCTGGCGGCAAGTCGAGGCGTATTCCACCCGTCACAGGAAGAAGAAACGGCTCACTTTCTAGCGCGTCTGCCCTCGCTGGCGATGGCGACACGTTATCTCCCAAGTCTGGCAGCGGTGCCCAGTTCTCTTCTCCTGAAGGCGTTGCCAGCGGCCAGTCAGAGCAGCTCCCTTATTTCCGCGACTATTATTCACAGGACGACATCCATCCAAATGACAGAGTATCTGTTCTCTGGGCATATCAACCTCGAGCCCCTGATGAGTTTGAACTAGACAGAGGTGACATGCTGAAAGTCGTTGGTATATGGGACGACGGCTGGGCAACAGGTGTCCGAGTCAATGAGAAAGCAGAGGACTATGACTCGAAGCATAAACACAGTCCGCTCAGAGATAGTGGTGTCTCTCACGGGTCAGAGGCACGACCTCCATCTTCACCAACTACCGGAGAAATAAAAGCATTCCCAGTTCGTCTAAACCTAGCTCCATTCTTGTGTTACTTATTTTTGAATCTATTTACTAACGGCTCCATCTAGCTCGTCTGCGTATGCCTACCACAACATTGGCGAAAAACTATCGACGGCTACCTTGAAGGAGGTGACCAAGAACCCTCATCTTAACGGATATCACCTTGTCTATGCTTGTTTTTTCCCTTCTCCTTTCATGCGTTGATGACACAAACTAGTTTCCGGCCGCTCAGGCTCTGGCGTTATCTTTTCCTTGCCTTCTTACATTCTACAGCCTCCCTTTTACTTTCTTTCCTTTTCTTCTTTTCCTTTTATTTTATTCCCCAAAGAGTTGACCCTCTTACCGCAAATACCTTGGCCTTGCTTTGATCACGCCTATATCCATTATACGGTACTACTTTTATTTCTTTCTCTTCTAGTGTCCAGCGAAGACCTTTACAGCAAATTCTCCAGTGACATGTACGTCACTCCTTTTTTTTTCGGAAAAGACAACAACAAAAAGAATAAAAAAAAAAAAAAGAAAGAAAGAAAGAAAGAAAGAATTTCAATCCTTATGTGAATGGGAACACCCTAATATCTCACATGCTGCAGGGCTAGTTCAGTCTGGATCTTCGAGCAGTTGGGTTATTCAGTTTTTGCTCTGGTGCAAAGCCGGCAAGCACTGTTCGAGCAACGCACACGCAGCACCCGCCCTCACTCTCAGTTTGCCCGGCTCCTCCACCGTTCGTGGAGAGGGTATTTCCTTGTTCTAGTTTGTTGCTGCTCACATGCTGCGCTTCCTCTGACTTAATTGCTTCTCGTACTCCGTACGCTAGATGTTAGTTGTGTTAGCTGCCTGTTTCTGTACTTTTTTTACCTTGATGTAGTTTATACCCCCCAAGAGATCCCAAGCCAGGCCAAAGGGTAGTTTGTCTTAATCCTAGTTGTTAATTACAGTCCATCCCTTACATTTACCGTTTTCATCGTTTATACTCCGTACACCTGGGGCGAGCATGACCACGGGACAAACCCACAATTTACTTATAAGTCCCTGTTCAATTTTTGCATACACAACGCTCTGAGACCAAGCATGCTTAATTCAACCAGATAGGTATCCACCCTCTCTTCTCCATCACTACATACAGACTATTACCTCTTCACGGTGCTCGGCGTGATCGGCCTCTTGAAACACACAACCACTCGACATATTAACTATCCGGCAATGTAATATAGGACAGGGATCATCAACACTCTTTCTCCCCCAAACTCCGTCGTTTGCAGGTGGATGGTCATAAATATGGCGTGATCGTAGGGGTGCTCACTTAGGTACCCTTTTGCTTGCTACACTGCTGGCAGGCCTGACCTTTCCAGCGCCGTGTCATGCCATGCCAGGCCATGCCACGGTCACAGTCATGTCGACCAGCACCAGCAGCATCACCATCATCATCTGCTGGCAAGCAACATGGCGTGATGGATGCACCGTAGCTATGCCACCGGCGCAGCAGGATATATACCAAGCCCGGCAAAGACATGTAAGCATCTGTCCTCTGTCAGCTCTATTCCATGAACATGTATATTATGTATCTCTGGCGTGACCATTATTATTTGTCCGTATGTAGTTTAAAAATAGAGAGCCTCCATCTCCATCCGGTAACCGTTGCATCCTCACATGTAATATCTATCATCCGTTCACTTGTTTAGGTAGTGACTTAGTCGGGCCCATCAGAGGAGCAAGGGGAAAAGGAGCCCAGTTGAGCACACCGATGCCGTGAACACAGGATAGGATACCCCTGATACTCGCCTCTCTCGGTCCGGACATTCTTCTGATGGCTG